GACCAGGAGAAGTCTTTGCTAGCGCAGTGAGAGAGTTTGGGTGATGTTGTGTCTTAGAGAATTCACGCTATGGGCTCAGAGCTGATTGGCTGAACAGTGGTCTGCTCTATTTCACAAACTGTTGATAGATCAAGAAACTATTTAGTTGTTTAAGGGGAAAAATGAACCCAATAATGCAGAATATTGTTCTTTTAATAATCTCCCGTCCTCCCTCCCTCTCTGCTTCGCTCCCTCTTTCTTGTATGAGCTGCTGGAATGTAGAATATGCCTTTTGCTCATTTATAATGTCGTGGCCTCAGGAGTGACACACAGCACAAATATGCAGCCTGTGATCCCTGCAACCAGGAGACTTTTATTACGTTTTACATTCTGTCCCTGCAGAGAGAGGCTTTGGAAACAATAGGATGTAAAGATGGATGCTTTTTCAACATATCTCTGGGACAAAACTAATTCAACACTGAAAATACATGAGAATAGACTCAGAGGGCACAGTGTGAGTTCCAGAGAATGTTCTAGTTGTATATTTTACCAATTATTTGACAAAACTTGACAAACTGAAAGCTAGACCAAATATAAACAGTGAACTAAAATAGTGTCAGTGAGTCTTGACTGTGCTGACTGTAGAGCTGTGCTGTGATGCATCATGACGGCCTCCCACCTGCAGGGGGCGTCTGAGAGATGAGTCCCACAATAAGGTCCAGGTTTTTACTGAGACATTCAGCCAGAGACCTGTCCACCTCCGAGACCTGTCCACCTCCGGGACCAGTTCATCTCTGAGACCAGTCCACCTCCGAGACCAGTCCACCTCCGGGACCAGTCCATCTCTGAGACCAGTCCACCTCCGGGACCAGTCCATCTCTGAGACCAGTCCACCTCCGGGACCAGTCCACCTCCGAGACCTGTCCACTTCCGAGACCTGTCCATCTCCAACAGACCTGTCCACCTCAGAGACCAGTCCAGCTCCGGGACCAGTCCATCTCTGAGACCAGTCCCCCTCCAACAGACCTGTCCACCTTTGAGACCAGTCCATCTCTGAGACCAGTCCACCTCTGACACCAGTCCACCTCAGAGACCAGTCCACCTCCGAGACCTGTCCACCTCCAACAGACCTGTCCACCTCTGAGACCAGTCCATCTCTGAGACCAGTCCACCTCCAACAGACCTGTCCACCTCTGAGACCAGTCCACCTCTGACACCAGTCCACCTCAGAGACCAGTCCACCTCCGAGACGTGTCCACCTCCAACAGACCTGTCCACCTCTGAGACCAGTCCATCTCTGAGACCAGTCCACCTCCAACAGACCTGTCCACCTCTGAGACCAGTCCACCTCTGAGACCAGTCCACCTCCGAGACTTGTCCACCTCCAACAGACCTGTCCACCTCTGAGACCAGTCCATCTCTGAGACCAGTCCACCTCTGACACCAGTCCACCTCAGAGACCAGTCCACCTCTGACACCAGCTCCACCTCAGAGACCAGTCCACCTCCGAGACCTGTCCACCTCCCACAAACCTGTCCACCTCTGAGACCAGTCCACCTCTGAGACCAGTCCACCTCCGAGACCTGTCCACCTCCAACAGACCAGTCCACCTCTGACACCAGTCCACCTCAGAGACCAGTCCACCTCTGACACCATTCCCCCTCTGAGACCAGTCCACCTCTGAGACCAGTCCACCTCCGAGACCTGTCCACCTCTGAGACCAGTCCATCTCTGAGACCAGTCCACCTCTGACACCAGTCCACCTCCGAGACCTGTCCACCTCCAATAGACCTGTCCACCTCTGAGACCAGTCCATCTCTGAGACCAGTCCATCTCTGAGACCAGTCCACCTCTGACACCAGTCCACCTCCGAGACCTGTCCACCTCTGAGACCAGTCCATCTCTGAGACCAGTCCACCTCTGACACCAGTCCACCTCAGAGACCAGTCCACCTCCGAGACCTGTCCACCTCCCACAAACCTGTCCACCTCTGAGACCAGTCCACCTCTGAGACCAGTCCACCTCCGAGACCTGTCCACCTCCAACAGACCAGTCCACCTCTGACACCAGTCCACCTCAGAGACCAGTCCACCTCTGACACCATTCCCCCTCTGAGACCAGTCCACCTCTGAGACCAGTCCACCTCCGAGACCTGTCCACCTCTGAGACCAGTCCATCTCTGAGACCAGTCCACCTCTGACACCAGTCCACCTCCGAGACCTGTCCACCTCCAATAGACCTGTCCACCTCTGAGACCAGTCCATCTCTGAGACCAGTCCATCTCTGAGACCAGTCCACCTCTGACACCAGTCCACCTCCGAGACCTGTCCACCTCTGAGACCAGTCCATCTCTGAGACCTGTCCACCTCCCACAAACCTGTCCACCTCTGAGACCAGTCCACCTCCGGGACCAGTCCACCTCTGAGACCAGTCCACCTCCCACAGACCTGTCCACCTCCGGGACCAGTCCACCTCTGAGACCAGTCCACCTCCGAGACCTGTCCACCTCTGAGACCAGTCCATCTCTGAGACCTGTCCACCTCCCACAAACTTGTCCACCTCTGAGACCAGTCCACCTCTGAGACCAGTCCACCTCCGGGACCAGTCAACCTCTGAGACCAGTCCACCTCCCACAGACCAGTCCACCTCTGAGACCAGTCCACCTCCCACAGACCTGTCCACCTCCCACAGACCTGTCCACCTCCCACAGACCTGTCCACCTCTGAGACCAGTCCACCTCCCACAGACCAGTCCACCTCCCACAGACCAGTCCACCTCCCACAGACCAGTCCACCTCCCACAGACCAGTCCACCTCCCACAGACCAGTCCACCTCTGAGACCTGTCCACCTCCCACAGACCAGTCCACCTCCCACAGACCAGTCCACCTCCCACAGACCTGTCCACCTCTGAGACCAGTCCACCTCCACAGACCAGTCCACCTCCCACAGACCAGTCCACCTCCCACAGACCAGTCCACCTCCCACAGACCTGTCCACCTCTGAGACCAGTCCACCTCCCACAGACCAGTCCACCTCCCACAGACCAGTCCACCTTCCACAGACCTGTCCACCTCCCACAGACCAGTCCACCTCCCACAGACCTGTCCACCTCTGGGCTATATTAAACATGTAGGCTCTGGGCTACATGTTTAATAGAGAGTTGACCATAACCCACTGACCAAGAGCCCCCAAACTCGTCCATGCCATCTCTCTGAATACTGGCTGGGAGGTCACTCTCAGGTTCCACTGGATTGGTCAGGGGGGGTCCCAACACTTACTTATCTTGTATGAAAAAGGCGTGTTGTCTTGCCCCGAGAGTCACTATTTGACTCTTTGGGCTGAGTGAGGGTGGCTCTCTTCTTCTAATGAAACAGCACAGTTAAAAATCCTCCAGAGAAGTAGACAATGCTCAGAGCTCTCCTGTGTACTAGGCCTCTCTGTCTACCACGGGGAGAACATGTTTGCATGTTCTCCCCGTGTCTCTGTCGCCACAGTGCCCTTTCCTTACACCCAGAGCGACTGGGCTGGCTTTTGCTCATATCTTTAATCCACAGACAAAGAAATAAGTTCTTAGTGGACGTTGTATTTTGCAGCGGCTGCGTTTCCTCTGCCATCTGCTAAAGGCATACGCAGTGGAAGATGCGAACAATAGAAGTTCTCGGAGCAGTAATCGTAGACAGCTTCATAAGAGCTGCCTGCGTTACCTTCAGGGACCTCAGGAAACTCTATTAGCGGCAAACATCCTGTCCAGCCCACGCATGCGAGGACTTGGCTCAGAGCGGCTCATCGAGAGAGTCAAGTGGTTGCCCTCGCGCTGTGGGATGATATCCAGGTAAGAGACTCTTGGGGAGACGGATGTTACTGATGAGAATGTCTTAAACAGATCTGGGAACAGCGGCTCAGTCTAATAGAAATGTGAAGCAGGAAGTGTGTTGTTTTAGACCAACAGTGAGGAAACACGGGCCAGAACACATGACCTGTGGCCTCAAACATGTGGGTATTCTGTGGCCCCCTAGTGGACATCGACCTTTAGTGTCAGTGTGGCGCCCACTGAGAGTCAGGGCTGATGTGGCACGTTATACATCATTTTAAAAGCCACATCAAATCAGTAACATCAGCAGCTTTTTATCACCTAAAAATATGGCCAGGATCAAAAACATAGTGTCTAAAGCAGATTCTTATCCATGCATTTGTCTCTAGTGTTACAGCTGCTCAAAAACATCTGCAGCTTGGGTCCTGACTAGAACCAGGAAGTACCAGTACATTAGTCCAGTCCTCAGGTCTCTGCACCTGTGGCTCAGAGAGAGGACTTCAAAGCAAGTCTGCTTGTTACAAGTCTCTGTGACAAGTTAGTGACATATGAACAAACTGGGACTCTGAGGAGCACAGGGACTGGCCTCCTGCTGGGACTCTGAGGAGCACAGGGACTGGACTCCTGCTGGGACTCTGAGGAGCACAGGGACTGGACTCCTGCTGGGACTCTGACGAGCACAGGGACTGGCCTCCTGCTGGGACTCTGAGGAGCACAGGGACTGGCCTCCTGCTGGGACTCTGAGGAGCACAGGGACTGGCCTCCTGCTGGGACTCTGAGGAGCACAGGGACTGGACTCCTGCTGGGACTCTGAGGAGCACAGGGACTGGCCTCCTGCTGGGACTCTGAGGAGCACAGGGACTGGCCTCCTGCTGGGACTCTGAGGAGCACAGGGACTGGCCTCCTGCTGGGACTCTGAGGAGCACAGGGACTGGACTCCTGCTGGGACTCTGAGGAGCACAGGGACTGGACTCCTGCTGGGACTCTGAGGAGCACAGGGACTGGCCTCCTGCTGGGACTCTGAGGCGCACAGCGACTGGACTCCTGCTGGGACTCTGAGGAGCACAGGGACTGGTCTCCTGCTGGGACTCTGAGGAGCACAGGGACTGGACTCCTGCTGAGACTCTGAGGAGCACAGGGACTGGTCTCCTGCTGGGACTCTGAGGAGCACAGGGACTGGACTCCTGCTGGGACTCTGAGGAGCACAGGGACTGGACTCCTGCTGGGACTCTGAGTCAGAACCAAACATGAGGAGGCAGTGATTCAGATTCATGCCGCTAAAATCTGGAACAGTCTTCCCGAAATTGTGAGACAGGCTTCTTCTCTGACAATGTTCAAATCCAGGTAAAAACAGTTCTGTCTCGCTGCAGCGACTGAGGGATTGTATCTTTATCTTCACTCTTTTTAATGTTCAGTGATTATTTATGCCTTTAATGCCTTGTGTGTGTTTGTTTCTGTCTTGTTTTGTTCAGCACCATGAGTTACCTGCGTTTGAACTGTGCTATACAAATAAACCTTGCCTTGTTTAAAGCAAATGTTATCAAGGAAACACACCATTTAATTTTCCATAACCATTAAACCTTGAGTGAAATAAACAATAATTGAAAGTAAACATTAGTGAACATTACAAAGCCCGTTTTGTTTCAATCCAAGCAGCTGGACTCGGACTGCGTTAAGAATTATATCAAATCATTCAACACAAGGAACTATTTGGTGCCTTTGGAAATGATCTAAATTCACATCCTCCAATATCAACGATCCAGTATGTAATTTATTTTTTGTATTTAAGAAAGAAGATTTTGGACGGATAGGGAGTAAGTAAGCTTTATTTATACCGCGTCTTTCACAGACCCAGGCCACAAAGGTTCACACACAGTTAAAACAGACAAAACTATTTAAAATGTGCGTACCAAAAATAAATGTATAATGGCCAAGACAACTCAGTGACAGGTTTGAAACAGCCGCAAGAAAATTATGTAAAAGCTTTCCCAAATAAATAGGTTTTTAGCTGACCTTTGAATGAATCAACCGACTCCATCAGCCGCAGAGAGAGCGGAAGATTGTCCCAGAGCTTAGGGGCAACAGCCTGGAAGGACCGGTCTCCTCTGGTCCGAAAGCGCGTGCATGGGACCATCAACAGGTTCTGATTCACGGTTAATACCAAACTGTATGATTTTGTTGAATGTTTTGAGATGTTTAAAGCTTGGGAAATCTTTTTGTATCCAAATCCGGCTTTAAACTTCTCCACAACAGTATCTCGGACCTGCCTGGTGTGTTCCTTTGTCTTCATGGTTCTCTCTGTGCTTTAAACAGAACCCTGAGACTATCAAAGAGCAGGTGCATTTATACGGAGACTTGATTACACACAGGTGCATTCTATTTATCATCATCAGTCATTTAGGACAACATTGGATCATTCAAAGATCCTCACTGAACTTCTGGACTGAGTTTGCTGCACTGAAAGTAAAGGGGCCCAATAATATTGCACGCCCCACTTTTCAGTTTTTTATTTGTTAAAAAAGTTTAAATTATCCAATACATTTCGTTCCACTTCACGATTGTGTCCCACTTGTTGTTGATTCATGAAATTTTTTTAAAATTGTATATCTTTATGTTTGAAGCCTGAAATGTGGCGAAATGTTGAAAGGTTCAAGGGGGCCGATTACTTTCTCAAGGCACTGTACAGTACATGATAAAGCTGTTTTGTTTTTAAATAGGAAAGCATCTGGAAAAGATACAGAAATCGTGTTCATTTTAACAGGTGTATACGTCAAAGACACAGAAGGACAATCTAAATCACATTTCATTCTTTGGATCAGAGGGCTGTAGGTCGGATCACAGAGTCATGATGAACCTTGGGTCCTATGGAAACGAATCCAGCAGAGAACCAAAGGAAAGGATGAGAAATATTGGATCCGCTGCAGGAGGAAGCCGGTCAGACCCAAGCCTGCAGTGAGGGTCTGCTAGGAATGTCTCACTGAGCTCCCTGTCAGACGGACTTTCAAACTCGCACCTCCGGGAGAGCTACCCCCCCCCCCCCCCCCTGAACCCGGTGGGGGACACCGGTAGTAAGGGATGCTGTCAGGCTGAAGAGGCCTACTGAGCCATGATGGTTCGTGGGACTCCTGAGGCAAAAACCCGGGGCTGGAAGGAGCTTGGAGAGTCCTCCCAATTGTGGAGACCAGGACTATTTTACTATATTAAAATCAGTCCTGAAGCAGTGCATGTGTTTTTAGTGGTAGGGGAAACCGGAGTACCCGGAGGAAACCTACGCAAACACGGGAGAACATGCAAACTCCACTCAGAAAGGGATTCAAACCCAGGACCTTCTTGCTGAGAAGTAAGAGTGCTAACCCCTCAGCCACCGTGCTGCCCAGAGGCTGCGTTCTTTCTATTTGTAAAAATGACCTATTGCAAACTGCAGAACGTGTTTACAGCTGAAGGATCAAGTCTTAGTTAGAGCCGGAGCCGCTCCGGGCCGCGCTCCGGGCCGCGCTCCGGGCCGCGCTCCGGGCCGCGCTCCGGGCCGCTCCGGGCCGCGCTCCGGGCCGCGCTCCTGCAGATATGATGTTGTTTATTGAAACTACATTGATATTTCCTGTCACCAGTTCCGTCGGTGGCTGACACTTCTCTGAATGGTTTTTCTCCTGTGTGTACTCAAGAAACTCTTCGTCACCAAAGACAATGTATTTCACAGCCGTGCACTTCCACAGCCGCGCACTTCCACAGCCGTGCACTTCCACCTCAATAAAACATGAATCATAAAAGTCTCACATAGAAAACATCAGTCATTTGTAAAACAAGTCGATAAACGTCATGATCAAGTGCGTTTGTTGTTGTTGCCAAACACAAACAGCTTTACTGCTAATGCAGTATTTCTGATGGGGACTTATAAACAAGGACTGCACATACTGTAGATGGACAATGCTGACCCACAAGCTTCACAGAATAGGGAAGTGCTCATGGACAAAGTTATTCTCTCTCTATTTTTATATGGTCTTTGTAAAACCAGTTATGAGCTGTATATGTATTGACCAATCAGAGGCCTTCATTCGCAGAGGGGGAACTCAAGCTAGCCTTAGCAACTACTCTCGAAATACGTCTGGCCAGTTGGAGGTCCTTGGGCAGGATGGTCCCCTCTCAGTGTGGATGGTGTCTTCAAACAGGTCCTCGAGGTACCAAGAGGTCTGAAGAAGGACTGGTCTGACCTGTACTCCTGGTCTGAGGTCTGAAGGACTGATCTGACCTGTAGTCCTGGTCTGAGGTCTGAAGGACTGGTCTGACCTGTAGTCCTGGACTGAGGCCTGAAGGACAAGTCAGCGCACCTGCTCATGGACCTTTTGGAGCCAGGACCCGCCCCCACTGGTTCTGGCCAATGAGAGCAGCTGATCAGAGCCGAGCGGGAGTTGGTTTACACTAAAATGTGGATTTATAGAAAACTGAAGGATTTAACAAGAAAGGACGACAAAGGACACAACAATACTCACACTGAAAGAAATTGCTGTAAATTCTCGGCCATTTTTCAACACTAAAGTACTGTTTTCATGTTTTGCAATGCATTATGGGTTGCTTAACTAGAAGCAACAGGACAAATGCCACTAACAGTATAATGACTAGCCGACTAGTTTTTGGTCGAAAATATAGATACCATACAGAACTAATCTGCCATCAGCATCTGGAGGGACATCATTAACATCATGTGACATCACAACTGCCAGGAGGACTTCAGATGACATGTGCTACAGTGCTACACATGTCATCTAAAGTCAGAATGGGTAAAACTAACCTGTCTCACGACGGTCTAAACCCGGCTCACGTTCCCCATCAGTGCGTGAACAATCCAACGCTCGGTGAATTCTGTTTTACAATGATAGGAAGAGCCGACATCGAAGGATCCAAAAGCGACGTCGCTATGAACGCTCGGCCGCCAAAAGCCAGCTATCCCTGTGCTAACTTTTCTGACAAAATAACGGTGAAGATCTGGCAACCCTGCTGCCTGCTCTTTACTGTTATTTTTCAGGAACATTATTTACAGGGCACAAAATCCAACCTTTGTGAAAGTTGTAGGTTCTCTGAAATACGTATTATTAACGATCCATGGTGCGCATAGATCCGTTTGCGCCGCTGTTCATATATTTTGCACACACTCAAACACCTGATAAATCTACCCCATAGTTTGGCCCAGCTTCGTTCAGACTCGACCTCACGCTGCTCGCAGATACATCAGAGTTTGAGGCCCCTGGTTTACAGCTATGTGCTCTTTGCTCTTCATTCCTGCTGTAATGTACGAGACAACACACGACTGTATCCGTCCTCATCGTTCAGGTCCGACAAAGTGCAGTGAGGTGGATTTGCGGGGCCCCAGCTCTGTGGGAGCAGGTCCAGACTCTGCAGCAGTCTGTGGTCGTGACTCTCTGACACGGTCCTTGTTTGTCGCTGCCCTCTCTGTGTTCAGCCTGAGGTCGTAAATCACATCTCAGAACACTTTTTTATGTGGCCACAAACGCACACTTCCCTGGCATCGAGTGCAGCGCAGCAGCTATCACTCAAAGTCATTACACAAAAGGAAATGGTGACTTTTCTGTGTTTTTATTTGCTTCAAGATATACTTAAAAATCTGAATTTCGATGAGTGTAGAATAGAAGTGAATGTTGGGATCGCTGGTTTACAAACTGCAAATCTGTCACATCATGTCCTTCTCTGAACCCAGACTAAACCAATCAGCTCCGAGCCCAGTCTTACCAATGTTGTTATTATTCAATGCTAAAAAACTAAATTCATTTACGCATTTAAATTATGTTCATGGGGTGCAAGGTTTTACTTCTTTCCCGCTCAATTTCAAGTTGACAAAATGTAAATAGAAATACATTTGTAAAAACACGGTGAAACTATGGCACATACTGTTGCTTGATTATATGTAGTTATGTTTAAAATGATGAGTAAATATATTTGCGTGTGTAAGTACTTTATGTGAATACCATGAGCACAGTGGGAAACATAACAATGAACAAATGTTTTCCATAAACTAAGGAATGTATCGTTTCAATCAATCAAACTAAAAAGATCTTCCAACACCTGAAAATCCTCTGTCCTGGTTCTGGACCAGAGAAGAGTCCTGGTCCTATCCAGTCTGTCCTGTCCTAATCCAGGATTCGGTATTGGATTCGGCCGAATATTGGATTTTTTGACGGGAACCTTAGAATTTTACCTCACCGAACCGGAAGCTTACACTATATTTTAGGTTTCGAATTCAGCGGAATCTTAACCAGTGGATTCGGTATTCTGCCGAACCCCAGAAATCTGGATTTGGTGCATTCTAGTCCTGGTCCTCTCTCCGGTTACAGAAGTCCTGGTCCTCTGTCCTGGTGCAGAGGTCCTGGTCCTCTGTCTTGGTGCAGAGGTCCTGGTACTGGTCCTGGTCCTCTCCGGCTCCTCCTCCATGTCGAGACGAGGAGCTGAGGTTGGAGAGGACAAGTCTCTGTTTGAAAGGCCTCCCAGGAGCAGGTCCAGAGGAAAGATCCAGGACTGAAGGGACAATGTAAGAATCATTATCACAAAAGAGAACCACAAAGACACAAAGCAGTATTTAAACAAGACATCATTTGAACAATAATAGTGAAGAATACTTTCTCAGAGACTTAAACCTTTTCTCTTATTATGAGCAAACGTGGAGCGAATGGATACGATAACTCATGAAGTAAGTTTTCTTCTGAATAACTTATGAAAAGCATAAATATACAGCTCACACGGGTCCAACAAACAGATTTATACGGCACTTTAGAAGCTCCTGGGACAGACTACTTTCTCAAATTATAGCACTCCCAACAGTTGAGAACGGAAACCTCCTCATAAATGCATCCTGGAGTCATGAATCAGCGCCTCCTTCAGACAGAATGTGGGAGTCGCTCAGACACAGAATCATATCCACCAGGACCTTTTTACACTTTCACCAACGTCCTCGAGGCTCAGACGTGGAAAGTGCGCAGGTGCTTGTCAAAAATACAAAAGAAAGAATGTTTTCTGTCAAATATTTTTGTGTCAGAATGGACCAGATGCACAGATCATCTCCACAGAAAGTTAAGTATTCTTTATTTATATTGCACGTTTTTACAGACCAGGTGTGTACAGCTGCTGGTGCTGGGACCAGACCAGACTCAGACAGATCTAGGTCTAAGTGAAAGTCTAGAGTACAGGTTTTTGTCCCCATAGGAAAATGTGTCCTCTGCTTTGACCCATCAAGGCTCTCTCAGAAAGACGGTCCTGTAGAATCTCAGTCAGAACAGGGTCTTTCTGTGTGGAGTTTGCATGTTCTTCCCATGTTTGTGTAGGTTTCCTCCGAGTTCTCCAGTTTCCTCCAAGTGCTCCGGTTTCCTCTGGGAGCTCCGGTTTCCCCACCACAGGGAAAATCCTCCATTTACAGTTTGATGCATTTCTCATTCTTCACATTTGCACAACTGTTGGTGCATTTTTCAGAAAAATTAGTGCAAACTGCAAAATCTTGTGGATAACCTGCAAAAGTCACTTTATCAAAATGAAAAGGATGCTCCGGTTTCCCCTACCACTAAAAACATGTACAATTGGTATAAATGTAAATGAGAGGGTGAATGGATGGTGTTGGTCGGAGGCTTTGATGGACCAGTGTGTTCGGCGTCTCGAACACATATTGAGAATGGAAAAATATCTGAACTCTGAACATTGTAAAATGCATTATATATAAATAAACATTACCTAATTACACGCAAAGAGATAAACACTGGTGATCACTTTACCCTCGGTGGAGGTAATGAGCCATGCTTTTGTCACACACTACATACGTCCATTATTATAGATAGATCCATAGATAGATAGATAGATAGATAGATAGATAGATAGATAGATAGATAGATAGATAGATAGATAGATCCATAGATAGATAGATAGATAGATAGATAGATCCATAGATAGATAGATAGATAGATAGATAGATCCATAGATAGATAGATAGATAGATCCATAGATAGATAGATCCATAGATAGATAGATGGATCCATAGATAGATAGATAGATAGATAGATCCATAGATAGATAGATAGATAGATCCATAGATAGATTCATAGATAGATAGATCCATAGATAGATAGATAGATAGATAGATAGATAGATAGATAGATCCATAGATAGATAGATCCATAGATAGATAGATAGATAGATCCATAGATAGATAGATAGATAGATAGATAGATCCATAGATAGATAGATCCATAGATCCATAGATAGATAGATAGATAGATAGATAGATAGATCCATAGATAGATAGATAGATAGATCCATAGATAGATAGATAGATAGATAGATAGATAGATAGATCCATAGATAGATAGATAGATAGATCCATAGATAGATAGATAGATAGATAGATAGATAGATAGATCCATAGATAGATAGATAGATAGATACTTTATTGATCCCGTAGGAGAAATTCAGGCGTCCTGCAGCATCAGACTCATCCAGGTTTGTTGTACAGTCTGACAGCCAAAACCTCTCTTATAATCGTTATCAAAGTAAATGCCTAAACCGCTTTTCATGCTCTCTACATTATTAA